TATTAGGGTTTACATGGATGTAACCCTAATCCTCCATAATATATAAAGGGGTCCTTGGCTCACAAAATTGAACAAGTGTGTGAAAATAAGAGTGGGCCGATTTTATGGCATACACATTCTCTAAAGGTTTTCCAAGGTGTTTTGGTGATTTGTGATTCCACTTGAGGCTTCCACACTATTGGGGCTAAGCTCTTAAAGTTCAAGACTTCAAGCTTCATTAAAAGGTATGTATTCTAACTTGTTATATTACCCAAGTATCAAGGATTGTATGCTAGATAGGGTAATACCTTGGAATATTCATATTTGCATGTATAATAGAGAAAACATAGATCCAAGGTATTTAGGGTTGAATGTACACTTAGGAGTGTTAGAATGCTCAAAAATCCAACACATACCGCTACTGAAACTCCAAAACCCTATACTTGCCTGACCCCCACACAGATAGAACCAACCCAAACCACAATCACAAGAATTTCATCTTCCATCAACTCTGAAAGCATCCTTTAACCCTGAACCCTTCAATTGATACCCTTAGCATACATATTCCTTAATTCATATCCCACTGAAATGAAGACCTTGCACACAAACACCCACGATTCCCAATGCGAGTTCCCCCCGAAAACCAACTCGGTACCTAACATCAAAAGGTATGACATCAGTTCCAAATTTCTCAAGGACCTTTTAACAAACCGCAAGAAAGTGGAGGGATTATCTAAGGTAGTATTGAATGAAACTTGCTCCGCTGTAATGCTCAACATGCTACCAAAGAAGATGGGGGATCCCGGAAGCATAAGATTGCCATGCGAATTCAGGAATCTAGTAACAAGTCATGCTCTAGCCTACTCGGGAGCAAGTGTCAACTTGATGCCCTATTCGTTTTTAAAGAAGCTTGATCTTCCCGAACCAAGACCGGTCCACATGGTTATCCATCTAGCCAATAAAACTATGACCTTTCCAAGGGGTATTTGTGAAGACTTACTAGTAAAAGTTGACAAGTTTGTTTTTCCCGCTTATTTCATTGTTTTGGATATGGAGGAAGACGAGCAAGTCCCGATCATCCTTGGAAGGCCATTCTTGAGTACAGCCCGAGCTTTAGTTGATATAAGAGAGTCCAAACTTACTCTACGAGTTGGAGAAGAAGCGGTTACTTTTGGAGTTAATCAGGCAATCAAACATTCAAGGATAAGTGATGATACGTTGTTTTCAGTCGATGTGTTAGATGAAGTACTTGAAAAAGAGCTAGAGGGTTGAAAAGAAGAAAAATGAGGGATTTATGGTGCTTGAAGAAGGTAATTTTGATCCCAAACTCGACCTACAAGAATTGGAGAAGTTATTGGAGGAAAGTGAGTATAATGAAGCAATAAAAGAGGCAGAATAGGCACCACGTCGTGGCAAGATTGTTTTTTACGAAACGGATTTAAAAGTTGCGACACCACGACGTGGCAGGATTCCCACGTCGTGGTAACTGATGAAAGTCCGAAAGTTGAGCTGAAAGCCCTCCCCGAACACCTGGAGTATGCATTCTTGGAATAAGGACAACTTTCCACTACCATTTATTGATCAAATGCTAGAGAGGTTATCTGGTCATCTCTACTACTGTTTCCTTGATGGTTTCTCGGGTTACTTTTAAATCCCGATTGACCCGCAAGACCAAGAGAATACCACTTTTACATGCCCAAGTGGAACATTCGCATATAGACGCATGCCTTTTGGGTTATGCAACGCACCAGATACTTTCCAAATGTGTATGATGGCCATATTTCACGACATGATCGAGAAATTTATGGAGGTTTTTACGAATGACCTCTCAGTTTTTGGGTCGTCTTTTGAAGATTGTTTGTCCAACTTGGATCTAATGCTAGCAAGATGTGAGAAGACCAACCTTGTCCTTAATTGGGAGAAGTGACACTTCATGGTGAAGGAAGGAATTGTGTTGGGACATAAAGTGTCAAGGTGGGGAATAGAGGTGGATAGAGCGAAGGTTGACACGATAGCTAAATTACCACCTCCAACAAATGTAAAAGGAGTGAGGAGTTTTCTAGGCTATGTGGGAGTTTACCATTGTTTCATTAAAGACTTTTCGAAGATCATAAGGCCATTAACTCAACTTCTTTCGAAAGATGCCCCATTTGATTTTTCCAAAGAATGTCATGAAGCGTTTCAAGTATTAAAGGAGTAGTTAACTAGTACACCTCTTATGATAGCCCCGAATTGGAGTCTTCCTTTTGAGCTAATGTGTGATACTAGTGACTATGAGGTGGGAGCTGTTTTGGGACAAGAAGAACAACAAGCATTTTCAGCCTATTTACTATGCAAGCAAAACCTTGAACCCAACACAATAGAACTACACTACTACCGAGAAAGAGCTACTAGCGGTGGTATATGCTTTTGATAAATTTCGTCCATATTTGGTTTTGTCAAAAACAATAGTTTTTACCAACCATTCTGCCCTTAAGTGTCTTTTTGCTAAACAAGATGCTAAACCAAGATTGATACGTTGGGTTTTGCTTTTACAAGAATTTGACATCGAAATAAGAGATAAAAAGGGGATGGAAAACATGGCTGCCAATCATTTATCGAGACTAGAGAACACGCACTTGGAAGAGTTAGAAGAAAACAAGATTGGAGATGATTTTCCCAAAGAATATCTATTGGTCATAGCAGGAGAGGTACCATGGTATGCGGATTTAGCCAACTATTTAGCAAGTGAATATATTCCAAAGGACTTGACCCGACAACAAAAGAAGAAATTCTTTTCAGAAATCAAGTACTACTTTTGGGATGAGCCATACCTTTTTCGAAGCTGTGCAGACGGAATGATAAGAAGATGCGTGTTCGGGAAAGAAAGTCGAGAAACCTTGAAGCATTTTCATAGCGGGCCCACCGGAGGACACCATGGAGCGCAATATACGACTAAGAAGGTTTTTGATACCGGTTTTTATTGGCCTACTATTTTTAAAGATGCTACTAGATTTGTCAAGGAATGCGATTCATGCCAAAGGTCGGGAAACATTTCATCACGAAACGAGATGCCTCAAAATAGCATTCAAGTTTGTGAGATATTTGATATTTGGGGGATTGACTTCATGGGACCTTTCCCAATGTCAAAGGGTAATAAATACATATTGGTGGCAGTCGATTATGTATCTAAGTGGGCGGAAGCACAAGCATTACCCACTAATGATGCTCGAGTGGTGGTACGTTTCCTTAAAAGGTTATTTTCAAGGTTTGGAGTTCCTAAAGCTCTAATTAGCGATCGAGGCACCCACTTTGCAAATGATCAATTGACTAAGGTGTTGCAAAAATATGGTGTCCACCATATATTCTCAACATCCTATCATCCCCAAACGAGTGGGCAAACTGAAGTTACAAACCGGACATTAAAAAGGATTCTAGAAAGATCGGTTGGAAGTAATAGAAAGGAGTGGTCGCACAAGCTTCATGATGCACGTTGGGCATTCTGAACGGCTTTTAAAACACCTATTGGTACTACACCATATAGTTTGGTTTATGGAAAGAATTGCCACTTGCCAGTAGAGATAGAGCATAAAGCATATTGGGCTTTGAAGATATGTAATTTTGAGTTGGTTGAACTCCGTACAAACCGGTTAATGCAAATGAATGCCCTTGAAGAACTTAGAAACAAAGCTTATACAAGCTCATTAATTTATAAAGACCAGAATAAGAAATGGCATGACATGAGACTTAAGGGTAATAAAGACTTTCATGAAGGACAAAAGGTGCTAATCTTCAATTCAAGGTTGAAACTTTTTCCGGGTAAATTACAAACTAGGTGGGACGGACCATTTGTTGTTAAACAACTTTTCCCACATTGAGCTATTGAGCTTATATCGAGAGAATGGATCCCTTTCAAAGTTAGTGGGCATCGAGTGAAGCATTATGAAGAAAGCATGCCAAGTGAAGAAAGAGAGGGTGAAATCGTCAAATTCACACGAGCTGACACAACGTAAAGTGGGAAGGAGTCCAGCTTATGACTCCCCAAAAAGAAGCGCTTGCAGGAGGCAACCTGTGGTTTTGAGTTTGCATTTTCTCTCCTTTTCTTTTATTTCATTTTATTAGTTTTTGCTTTATTTAGGCTTTTAGTCTCTCATTCATCTAATTTGTTATTGAATTCGACGTGGGGTATGGCATAAAACGAGTGTGGGGTGATTATTTTTAAAAGTTTGATAAATGATAATGATTTTTAACCCACCACGAGGTGGTGATTTTCCAGAACACGTATAATCGCGATTAAATAACCCACCACGACGTGGTGATTCTACCACCCGTGGCGACGGAAATAACTGCTGTCAAATTTAGGGTTTTTAAACCTAAGTCAAAACACTTTCATTTTTTTACACCACCCCACTTCTCTCGTCGTGCTAGCCTCCACGAAGAACTCATCCTTCTTTCCATCGATTTCTTGTTTTTCTTCACTAAAAGGTATGATTTTCTAGTGATTTCCTTACTCTTAATCGTTTATTATGGTAGTATAGAGCATCTATTTCTTGATTAGAACACATTTAGGACTAATTTTGGGAACCTAGGGTTCCGATTTTTTCAAAAATCGGACCAATTTTTGGATGTTTTGAGCCTTGATTTCGTTACCATTCTACTACATTTTATGTATAGAACAAACCCTGAACTTGTATTGAGATGATATGGAGCTGAATCTGGTCCGACTTAACCAGGTCTCACGAACAGTGCGTCGACCCCGACGACTCGTCGTGGTGATGTTTTCACAGTCTGTTCGGTTTTGTTTTGATTATACTGATGCACATGGTTTCTTGTGTGATCTTTGTGGTTATTTTGCAGACATGGCTAGTAGGTCTAGGCGAAACCAACTCGGAAGTCGTCCCGACTTTCCATGGTACAATTTTCCACGAAATGTAGGGCCCGAAATTTATACAAAGTGGAATTCCAAACTCGATTGGCTGAAGCAACGAAGGGTTCATGTCCCTGCATATGTAGATTGGCAGTGGATGAGCTAAACTGGATTGATGGAAGCAATTGAACCATATCTTGATAAATCGTTTAATGGAGTTCATGGGCAATTTCTTTGTCACGGATGGAAGCGGATATTCCACATTCAAGAGATCGTGTACGAGGAACTACTCATCGAATTTCTAGCCATGGTATCTTTTGCAAGAAAGGATGGCATTTATGCTGACAAGAACCTCACTTTTTGCCTCGGCGACGAGAGGGGCACTCTTAGCCTTGCAGATTTTGCACTAAGGACGGAGATTTACATTCCGTCTGAAGTTCATACCGAGTCTTATCAGCAATATATTGCGGGTTGTGTTAGAAATATAGAGGGGTTTAAAGCACAATTGCATTGGAATGCAATTGCAAATGGGGTCTATGAAAAAGGAAATGCACAAGAGAGTGACATCCATTCTCCTGTCCATCGATTGCTGCACCGCCTAATCACCAACACTATTAATCAACAACAAGAAGGGGATAACTGCCCAACTATAGACGTCTTTTTCTTATGGGTCGTTACTTCCGACAATACTCATGTGGACCTACCGTTTCTGTTGGCGGATTTTCTTGCAGTCCGAGCGGGAAAAGATAGGCGAGGGTCTCCGTCATATGGTGACATGTTGATTACCCGGCTTTCGCATTCATATGGCATACTTGACAAACACGAAGCCATGATGTTGACTGTGAAGCCACAAAATCCCTTTTCTACACTTCTTTATAAGAGGGCGAATATTGTTGTTGATCATGGATTTGGTAATTTTGGTATTCCCGATGACACTCCGCGGGGCCAAGTGCCGAGGCGGGTACGACCAAGGGGAAATGTACCTGAAGGAGAGGAGCCACCAGTTGTACCCGAGGTTGATGAGATGCCCATGGACCCTTACAGTGTTGCTAGGCGAAGGTTTGAGGATAACTTAGCAAGAAGTGGAAATTATACTAAAATGGGTATCGATTATCTTATGGAGCAGTTACATTTTCCCCGGCTCGCTCATTTTCCTCCTACATACCCTTACGAGCCAACTTGGGACAAATTATGGAAGGAGCAACAAGGTGGGGCTGGTGGAAGTGGAGATGGAGGAGACGATGAGGAATATTGAGTTTTATCCTTTTTATTTGATGGTTTTTAGACTTGTTTTTCTTATGGTTTTATTTTGTTTGGTGTGGTAGTTTTAACAATTATGTCGTTGTGTTGGTTATTTGAACAATGTTTCCTCCTTGTATTACTTTTCTTTTTCTTAGTTCCAGGTACTATTCTAGAGTCCAAGTAAGGGTCTTTTTGGCAAAAGAGGGTTCTTTCTAGTAAAGGCTTGTAAAACGTCGAGAGAAGCTAGATTTGAGCACATTTTTCGGGTGTTTGATTGCATCATAGAGTGAGAGGTAACGACCAGGAGCCTATTACTAGAGTTGGTGTCACATATAGTTTGCGTTTTAGTATATTCAGGCACCAGAATTTGCACTTTGGAAACCACCACGACGTGGTGACATTCAACACACCGTGTTATCGCAGTATAAAATACCAAAAAGTGTTATGTTTGGTCCACCACGACGTGGTGATATCTACCACGACGTGGTGCTCTTCGAGTCAGTTTTCCAGTTCGATTCCGTACTTCCAGTGGTCTACGTGTTCAAGAGTGGCGTTTCACGATTTATGTTCATTCCCATGGTATGGATGAGTTGTTCCCACACCATAGAATTTCACTCCATAATGAAGAATTATCCCGGCTGCTACGACATGGTTGACACTTTCCTATGTTGTGGGGGAGTTTTTCAAAGCATAAGGAAACTGCCATTCTATTTTCCACTTCCGTTTCCACACGTTCCAGCAAGCTAGAAATCCTTCCCACGTTTCGAGATGCATCTTCTATCCTAGGGGAGTCTGTTCCTTTTTCTCCCTC